CCATCAATGGCTGAAACAAATTCATCGAATCCTATTTCATCTGAATTGCATATGAAACAATCTGAATTTTGTTCCAACAGATATAACACTTTTATTGGCCATGACAAGCTCTCCGTCTTACAAGAATTAAAGTAATATCCAAGATAAATAAATTCTTAATACAAATATACGACGTATTTGTCCCGCTTTAGACATTATTTCTCTCCTCCTTTTTTTTTTTTTTCTTTTATTTGAAAAATTGTTCCAATGTTAAAAGAGAGAAACAAAGAGTACGATTTTCTTTAAAGAAAAAAAGGAGATTCTTGTTAAGACGAGAAAGAAAATGTGAAGGGCACACTACAATGTTATATGGGAAAATCTTTTTCTAGAACTAGAAGACACGCAGCACAATTTTGGCAGCTTTTATGCTTAAAAGACAACACAATGGCATTGAGTAAAGGCAAAGATGGCTCCTAGTCCTTGAAAGGACAGATCATCTCAGAGAATAAATGACTCAATTTTCTTGAATTGGCCACTTTAACAATTTTCTTGAATTGACTATGGTGGGGTTGGGGTGGAATAGCAATCAAGCTAAGAGTTACTGTCAATTGCCTCAGTTCCTGGAATGATTAATGTAGAAAAAGTCATATTTTAATTAACACCATAGATCTTTAAGTCGATAAAGAAGCATGCCGAATAAAATATGTAAATGTTGGTGAACATCATCCGAACAGTGATCGAATTGGAATCCTGACTTCTCACAATCGAAACTTGTTCGGTCCATTAGTATAATCGACTTTTACGGCTAATGACACACAAACTTGATTTTTAATCTCAGAGATACTTTTGAAGATCATTTATGCTGCGACGAGTAATGGCGTATTAGACGTCCCTGTCTCACAGGTCTAAAAGGATTGGAGACCTTAGAAAGAAAAGTACGCCTTATATCCGTAAGCTACATTTTTAATGCAATTCAAGACACCTCGAGCATTTCAAAGACTTTGTTACAAGGCTTTGACAAATCCAACATTATTCTAATGTATGACATCATAACTAAAATATTAAA